AATTCAATATAAATGGAAAAAAAATATTATATGGAATTGAACGAAAATGAAAATTTGCTTGATAATTCAACTACGCTTGTTGGAGAACAATAAAAACACTACACTCAACAAGCCACCAATAAAACTCAACTGCCTAACCTATAACCAAAATCTCCTTTTAATTTGTTTTTAAAAAAAAGCGCTTGACAAACTTGCCCCGCATGCCGAAGTTGCCCCGGTCTCCCCTACGTTTAAAACATTAAAAATAAATTTAATTTGTTATATTTTTTATCCGTTTACCACCGCAGAGCGTATATTCGTATACATTTCTAATAGAGAAATGAATCGAGTGGCATATCGACCTGATTATTTATATATTCAAAAGCAGAAATAATCTATCAATGCAATGTATAAACATTAAAGTTAAAGTAAAATGAATTTTTTATACATAAAAATTTGATCAACTTCACTGTCAACTGCTAATTCGCACATCCATTTTCGTCAGTTGTGACGACCGTTAAGAAAACTTTCACAAAGAATTATTTAATAATATTTAATATACATTTTTGAATTTTCGAAGTTTATTAAATATGCTTGTTAGATATATAAACTGAAGTCACAATTTCATAAACAGAAAGAGTTTCTAATTGTTATCAGTATACCTATTGGTAAACATAGTTATTTGCAGAATACCTTTTACAGTTTGGTTATCTAGAAAATTCCGACCAAATGAAGAGAGGATTCTGTTTGACTCATTATAAATTCTGGAGTTACAACGTTTTACGTATAACGCAATTTTTCTGTTTTAATACTGTGTTGTTAATTTTTCACTATTTAGAACTACCTCAGAATAAAATTACTAGTACTGTATAAACTGCATGAATTTTAAAGAAAAATTATTTTTAAGTAATTTCATATTTATCAACGAAAAGTAAGTATATTTATTTATTTTACGTAAGAATAATTAAAGCTTAAAATTTCTAAAAATGGAGCCATTGTGCACAAGTTTGTTTTTGAAAATTATCAAATATTTAATAACTTTCATTATTCATTATTTTTTATCGGTGAATTATCAAGTTTGTTTATCAATTCAAATAAATTTTTTTAACATTAAAAAAAGTATTTTGTAAAATGCAAACACACACAATGATTATATAATCACATAGGGCCTAACATATTCTCTCAGCTATATCTGGACTGTGATAAAAGATAGTTAACTCTGCCAGCTAAATACTAATCTGTGTTTATTTTAATGTATTTATTGTCTGTGCTGGACCTAGATTTATGTGGCCCTACATATAACAAACCCTTTGCTTTCACCAAGTAATGATATATTTAAATATATGAGACCCTAAGTTATAGTTTCTTGACAAGAGCCCCTTAAGTTGCAGTTTATTGAGTTTATTTACAAATACGGTTTCGTTTGTTATCATAATACTTTTTGTAGGCGGCCGGATGGCCGAGCGGTCAAGGTGGCAGCCTACCGCTTCGACTGAAATAATTAAATCCTAAATATGCGGCCGGATGGCCGAGCGGTCAAGGTGGCAGCCTACCGCTCTGGGGGACCCGTGTTCGAATCCGAACGGGTCGAAAAATCCCCAGGAATTTTTCGGGGGTGGTCCTTTCGGATATGTCGGGCCCCGTCCCCCAGCATCCCCATTGTGGGCCTGGCCGGACCCATAATGGGCTTGCAAAAAGAGGCTCTCTTAGTGCCCACGGGCAAAAAGAGTTAAAAAAAAATACTTTTTGTCATTGCTGGGTGAATTCTCTATCAGAATATACATATAGGTACCCCCATGTTAGTAATCGTTCCTGAAAATCAGATGTTCTGCGTGAAAACGTACGCGGGTGTCTTTTGTCAAGGGGGCGCTAAAAGATATTTCTAATTAAGTGTCTAATTTGAAGTATAGAATGACAAAGATAGAACAAAGCATTACGTTGAAACAGCAAAATTGCGAGTTCTAACGGTCCAAGTGTTGACTAATGTTATGGGTCCACTGGAACCGTGACACATTTTTTATGCCTTTTAATCAACCGCTGTACGATCTTAACACCTTTAGTTCCCAGCAATTTTTGATATTAATGTAATTAAACATAAAAAATACTTAAAACTGAAAAAAAAACGAAAGAAATGCGTTAATTTTGAAGCCAAAGCTTCAAACTTTATTTTCCTTTGTCTCGCCTTTCTTCGAAATTTGACACCGATGAGTCATTGTTTACACAGCTGGATGACCTTGAACACAGCTGGAGTCGGATTTCCCGGGACATTCTCATAGAAGTCTCGGGAGGCGAAGGGTTTGTAGTAGGGTGGATATTAGCTGGCTGAATATTTTTAAATATTTTTTCCATAAAGGTATGTGAACTTATTGTTAAATAGGGGATTTTTTTTATCACTTGTTTACCATGCAGCACACTGTTCTATCAATAACTGCGAATATTCTCATACCCTTTGAATAACCTTAGCGATTGCTGAAATCTTTAAAAATCTAATTGAAATGATACGCTACAAAAAAAAAAAAGTTTACTTACACCTGTCTTTGTGTTAAAGATTTAACGTTAAATTTTATAATAATGATAATAAAATGTGGGAATAATTTCCTCTGTAAGATATGGACATAAAGAATATTTTTGCATATTTTGAAGAATGTTTAGCGGATCTGAAGGAGATGCTTTAAACATATAAAATGGATGGCGATGCTGATACAGGCTACAAATCGTATGTGAATACTTCCAAAAATTTATCTTGAAATTCATCCAAAACGTGACCTCAATAAAATTTATGGACTAGTTGAACTTGAGAATTTAAAAATATAACTAATCGGGCTTGTTCTTTAATCAAATTAAGAATAAACAAGGTCATAGCTTTAGTCTTCTCTGTGGAGAAAAATAACAATTCAGTCACCTCTACAAAAATATTTTGATATTTTTAAATATGTCTAAAAATAGTAAATTAGTAGGAATCTTTTTAAAACGAAACAATTTTTTTCCTCCGAGTTCATCAATCTGTAATGAAGACAAAAGAATTTAAGGTAATTGCATGCAAAATTATGTTCCCTACGTCAAAATCAAACACCAGATGATGGGGGAAAATTTATCAGTAATATTCGGTCACTCACCTTTGTTCTATCGTCTTTAAGAGGGGGTGGAACTAGTAATGGCGCCGGGAAGTTAGATAACGCCAAGATGCCAACGAAAATAATAATTCGACTTTGCGAAATTATAAAAATTGTTTACTCGCTAAACATAATAAAATGAAACTACCTACGCTGATAAAAGGCCACGTGATTGACATTGAACGGTTTTCCTTAAGGCAAACACACATTCGTGGCACGTGACTTACAGCTGGTAGTTGTCAAATTCAAATACGTAAACAGGAAGAGTGTAGATAGTGCACTTCCGGATAATTTCATCGTAGGTACATAATTTCGTCATTCAAGAACACTTTNAGGAAAGAAAGCAAAAAGCAGTGAATAAAAAATTAGTGTTAAGTTATTTTTAAGTTATTGTTACATTATGCTATGTAAGTTAAGTTTTAGTATCATTTCCCTTCTCCCTCTCTTCTGTCACCAGTTTACATCTCCATCGTCGTCTATCCTCAAAGTTAAAGTGCAAATAAAACTACATTTTTTAAACAAATTATTATTCTATTATGGTTATTTATACATTTACAAATATAAAACGCATTTTTTAGTGTTTTCCTTACTATAATTATTATTATTTTTTTTAAATGTACTACTTAGCTTTAATTTGAGTGTGTTTTTCGTGTTGGAACGACTTATTTGGTTTTACGTGTAATCGTATGGGGAAAATGATTCACCTTACTACATTTTCATGATACGATCTCAGTTTCGGAACGGATTAATTTCGTATCCTATGGTACCACTTTAATAGAAAAGTCATGAATACACTAAGCCAGCTAGATTCAAGCGCATAGTTTTCATTTAGAAGTAGGTCTGCTAATTCTTTCACTGTAACTCTTTTTTTCAATAGCTTTCTTTAAATCAAAACTTGGATGCATGCAATTGCATTGGAATGATGGCGATAAATTACCTTTTGCCTCTGTAACATTGCTTATTTAAAAGATTGATTTCAGTGAAATTCTCATTACGTCTGATGAGTGAGTACGATAACGCATGGCTTCTAAGTAGTCATGTTTCTACCAGTAGTTCCAGAAGCCCTTAGTAGTTCTAGTAGCCTTTAGTTGCTTTGGGCCTTGCGCAGTTGCACAGGTTGCACAAATGGTCGTTATGTCATTGCTCACCAGCTAGCCCCTGTAAAAAATTTTTTTATATTATTTATAACAGCATTCAATTTATTCTATTTCTGTCAAACTTTTATTGTATTTATTCTATATAACATCATAGCAATTAATATACTGTATTATATTTGGTTTATAATATAATATAATATTGTTAATATAATTATATAAATATATTAATATCTGAAATCGTGCCTTTATTCTTTATTTTGTTTTCTAAAACAACAATAAGTATTAATTAAAAACAGTGGACATTTTTTTTATTTAATTTGTTTTTGTAGTTAATACATGAATGAAAACACATATTATTTTCATTCATTCAAAACATTACATAAATACATAATCTTTACTATTAGACAGACGGATGGTTGAGAGGCTAAGATGGCACCCTACTTTCTGGGGATCCCGGGATCACATCCGGACGGGTCCAGCAATATTTCGGCGTGTGTGTCGAGCCCCATCTCTCACCACCGCCTCTCCATTGTAAACTTGGCCTAACCGGTAATGGGTTTGGCCAGGTCCACAATGGGCGGCCGGGTGGTGAGTTACGGTGTCCGATATACTATAGAGAAAATTAAAAAATCATAATTCAAACTTAAAAAGTACAGTGTTAAAACACTAATATTGTAAATTGCGAAATTATTTTTAATATAATAATAAGATATATTTTTAAAAGCTTTTTCAATTTAGAAAAAAAAAAAAAAACTTAAATAAACTGACAATTGCAGGTGTCACTGTTAATTCGTTTTCCGGTTCACTTTGAGGAACGTTTCCGGTTGATTCTGCAAAGAGCTTCGGTATAGGTTGGTCATGTGCTAGCTACGGTAAAACGAAGATAATGTTCGGTTATATCAAACTAAATTTTATGTAATAATTAATTTTTATTAAACGTACATCATGATCAAGGCAATTCTAATATTTAACAACAGCGGAAAGCCTCGGCTTACTAAATTTTATCAACATTATGTGAGTATAAACAGTGATCAGCTGTTAGGTTATTTTCAATGTCGGAAAAATATTTATATATTCAAAATATATTGTTGTTATAAAAACTGCAACCTAAAACCAATATTAATAGAGAGTTTGGAACTTTTTTTAAGAGTCGATATTTTTTCATTTATATAATTACTTGAAAATTTTTCCAAATATATTTAATGAACTTAAATTTCTCTGAATTATATATAGTTTCATGGAAATTTAAAGCTATTTGGAGTTAAATTAAATATCTTATACGTATATTAAACAAACAATGCAGCATATATTACTTTAGAAAAATGTTTGAAAATGTATGGAAACAACTATTTGGTATTACCTCATGGATTTCTGACTCCATGTTATTATCTGTATTAAATGCTTAATTCAGGTAGCTAATTGTTTAAATTTTACCACATGGTTTTTGTCCTGCTTTGAGAAAGCTGATGCTTTCTCACAAATATAAGTCACTGTTCCAACCAAATATATATATTCAGGGGGTGCAAAAGTAGCTATACAGTTGTTATTATGGGAAAAAAACATACAGGGAGAAAATAGGAAGTAACATCACAAATAAGGAATACAAACTAATAAAAGATAATAAAATTAATAATAATGAACACCAAACATTTGTATTTCTCAGATTCTCAACTGTATACCTACTTTTCCACCTTCCTGTATATATATATGGAAACAATTTTGAATTTGTATTTACTTTATTACAGAACTAACTGTTACTTGCGACTTCTCCCGTGCAGATTTTGCAAGCGAACACCATTTATATTCAGTATTTCAACAACCATAGTAATTGTTATACAACACCTACCTCTGAGAATGATGAGAATTGCTGAAAATCAAACAAACTATTTTCAATTTGATCAATTTACTGGAACGTTTACAATCGTTCTATAATCGAACCAATATGCAGTAACAAATTCAAATTTAAAACGATTCGAACATTTGGTTAAAAATCAAAATATATAAAAATATTTATAACAATGCCTGAAATGTTGTCAATTTAATACACCTAAGTACTCAATGAAAATTGAACGCAGTTAAAAACAAAAAATCGCATCTAAAATAGTACAGTAGAAGCCATTCTTCCGGTTAAGCCTTAATGCTCTCTCTCTCCTCCTGCGGAGGAATTTTGAAAAATCCCTTCTTAGTGTGCATTTCCATGACATACCCTAACTGCGTACCAAATTTCACCTCTTTAGGTTCAGTGTTTGTTCTGGGCGATGATGAATCAATCAGTCAGTCAATCGGGACAAGTAATTTTATATATTTAGATTAATGATTGCATTTGAAATTGTTACTTTGAAGCAATTGCTACATAATTAGTAAATATTTTCTTTATTAAAAGTAATTTTAAAAAAAGAAAAAATTTAATTCTCTTACTTCTTTCTTGATTTGTAAACCAAAAATTTTTGGTACAATTTTCTGTTCTGAATTTCAATTGTCTGGACTTTCAGTAACTAAATTAACTATGCAAGTATTTGTAACATTATTTATTCATGCTGTAGTACACAGGTTCTCAAACTTATTTCGACCACCATCCACTTTAAGATTAAAAAAAATCTAGTGCCCCATATTTTTTAACTTATCTTTTTACATTACCATCTGTTGTGTAGCTTAAAAACAGTTATTGCAAATATAATGTTTAAACATGCATTATTATATGGATAGGATAGATAGGGTATGAACCATATCCTATTTCTGAGATCAAAGAATGTTTCAATGAGAAGAAATAAAACTCATATTTAATCATAGAGCCTTCTATTGCCCCCCTGAAAGCCTCCAGCATCCACAGGGGGGCATTATCGCTCACTTTGAGAAAGGATGCTGTAGTATATATGCATTTCAAATCACTATATTTTAGTGATTATTAAGTAAGAGAATTGCTTATACTCTGAATCCTAATAAAAGGAAAAATATTTATTTTTCATATGTTTCATGAATTTCTGTACATTAATATTATTTAATTTCAAATAAGAGGAAATTGACTTTATAGCAGAATAAAAAAAGGTTATTAAATTTAATTCATCATATTAAAGAAAAATTATTACATCTCAGTGTGCTAATAGTTTTTCTAGAGACAAAAGTATGAGAATGATATATTTATTAAAATGAATTTATGATAATTTCTTTGTATCTTTTGAATCATTTATATTGATTTTTAATAAGTTAACTAAAGCTATTTGTTAAATATGGAATATTTTAGAATACTTAACTACATCACACTGGGGTGAATATGCAAAAAGGGAGTGACTCACAATGACCAATTTACCGGAGTGCAGAAGATCGATATTTGCACTCCGGTTAATTGGTTCTTGTGAGTCGCTTTTTTTTATACATTTTAGAATAAAGGATATCAGAGATTCTAATATTTTAAAACTGACAGATTACAAAAATTATGTATTTAGATCGGATCAACATGTGGTTTTTAGTAATTGGATGTTCTTGTGGACTAGGACTTGTTACACTGAGGAACAAGTGGATAATTGCCCTGTGGGATGGTGCATTGGTAATTCGTTTAATGAATAAGGGCTGTTTAAGTGAATGAAATTGCATTGTAATAAAAAAAGGAAAACATTTAATAAATTTTACTGAAAGAATTTAAAAAATAGCAGTTTAAAAGTCTGGTCTGTTCCGAAAATAAATATATGGGTATATTAAAATATAAAACTGTAATGTCTGCTGAAGAGGGGGTTGGCACGAAATGCTGAGTTGTAGTGGCATGTAGAATTATGTTACATTAATTGTTTTAATCTGAAATTATGTGTTTTTCTTCCCTTAGTGTAACTAGTTCACAAGAATGCCCAAACTGACAAAGTATAATGTAAGTAATTAAGGACAAGTAAAATGGCAAAACCATATTTGGGACAACACTACGTCTAAGAGACTCACTACTAAGTGGAATCACTTTGATGCTTAAGGAGGGTCTCGTTCTCATTCTCCAATCTTCTTTGGTATCGCTACTTTTGGGCGCAATCGTTCAAACTTCGCCAGCCATGACCACGAGGTCGTCCATGATGCATTTTCGATGAAATTAACCTATCCAATTTCTAAATTTCTCTCCGTTGCGTGTCGGCCCGGATTGAATTTTTGTCGATGCATAACGAAAATTTCGTGTTTTTGAAAAAAATAATTGTGGCTATTGTATTGTCCAAAATTATTATTTTATTTTGCACAAACAATATACAGTTTAACCCAATTATAACGTCATCGGATGTAACGACAACCTAATATAATGGCAATTTTTTATCAATCCCACGATTTTACTATACTAGATAATGTTAGAAAACCTACTTGTATTGACACCCTGTTTTAATGTCATATTTGAAGCACTTCCAAATTTACGAAATTAGATTACAAATTTTATTTAACATAGCAGAAACTAAGTGTTCAGTCCTAAGATCAGAGTTCACTTCTTAGAATGACTGTGGGTGGTACTCTCCCCCACCTGACTTCGGTGGAGTAAAGTGCCTGTTTGTAGAAGAGGGTCACAATTTTGGATTTTATTTTGACTTGATTCTTGGTCCCCTGACTACCTACAACTCTGGATCTTTTTATGTGCAAATGATTTGGGCAAAATGATTGAGTGCCAAATATCAAATCTCGAAATGTACACCTTCATACCTCTATGCTGGTAACATAAAGCAGCAGTATGATTTTATAAACAAGACATAGTCTTATCAACAAGAGGATTCTAACTGTTGCTGCAAGTAGAACTTTTGGATGAAGTTTTTCCTAATTGATGGAAGGGGTAAGATAAACCAATTCAGTTTCCATCCTGCTCTCCTGACCTAAGCCTTTTAGATTTTTTTCTTGTAGAATTATGTGAAAGATCTGGTGTATTAAGAACATGTCACAGATATTGAAAACATTAAAAGGCTACAAAATAAACACAGTTGGAACTGTCACTCAGGATATGTTACATAACACATGGAGAGAGATTGAATATTCAATCATGTAAGAGTAATGCACTTATGGTGCACTTATTGAGATTTCTTAAGGATGAGAAATCCTTTTGCTTACCAATTAGGGAAAATTGTGTGATTGTATATATTTTCCTAAAATAAAAATGGGTTTCTTTTCTCAGAAAACCTGCAGTTCAATAACATCCAATGCTTGAAGTTTTGATTATAAAACTCAGAAATATTAAAGATATTATCATATGAATATCTTTTTTACTTCAAGTAATTTTTTAAGCAATGGATTCAAATTTATATGGAAATGTGTTCTGTCTCATTGAATTGAAATCTCAATCCATTTGGATCTTGAAACATTACAATTTTGTAAATGTGATAAAAAAATTAAAAGATTAATGTACTTAAAATTAATCTTTTAATTTTTTATATGTAATTAATAATTAATATGTACTTTTTAACATATTAATTAAAAATATAACAACACATGGCTGATAGCTGACTGAAACAATTTATAATGGATTCCCATTTTTGTTTTTTTCTGGTTAATTTTTCTAAAATTACTAAAATTAGATTTAATTTGCTGATATTCTTTCTGTACTGATACAAAATAAGAATAAATCACAAATAGGATAAAATAAATCAAAAGGAACTAATTTCTTTTTAAACAAATCCAACATTATATTTTATTTTACTAAAATTTAAAGATATCAATTATTATACATTATTGCTTGTATTATATTTTTAAATGTAATAAAAATAAATTTGCCCATCAATTCCTAAACCTTTAGTAATTTATTGACTCTCAGATAATTGACTAATACCCTCAAACATTTCTACCAAGTTGAGAATTCCTCCTTTTGAATATTAGTATATTATTTCTTAAACATTGCATTTTGATGGCTGGATGACTGAGTTAGTTAAGGCATCAACTACCACTCAGGATCTGAGATCAAACCCAGCAACCCTCATTATTCCTGGATAGTCTTCACAACTTGGTCATTTCTATTGTGGGCTTGGCTGATCCTGTGATGGATCTAGAGAAAAGGTGCTCTTAGTATCCACAAGACAAACAGAATCAAATATAAAAATAAAATACATTTTGAATAAATTGTAAAATGAATTGAAAGTTGAATTGTGAAGTTTTTCATTCAATAACAACAGTAAAGGGAAATAACAACAGTAAATGGAAATGGCATAGTTTTGAATTCATTGGCAGTATGCAAATTGAATTTATTTGTATGCAGATTTATCTCATGTAATTTTAATATGTAAAGTAAATACAAATAAATAAATTTCTATATATATATATA